GTTGTTTGGCGAGCCCGGGCTGGATTTGAACCCACCACCTTAGGTATATGTGGCTGGTGCCTTAGCCACTTGAGCCACAAGTGCTGAGCCATATCTCATAAAGGTCAGAGAGGAAACGGCTTGTGCAGGGCTCTTACTGGCAGGCCTGGGGGAGCACTGGGAAACCTGCCCTCTAAGTGTGTGACCTCAGAGAGCAAAGTGGTGACTGATCATTAAGAGGAAGGAAAGGCAAGCTGGGCTGTGTAAAGGAAGGCAAAATTCCATTTTCAGAAAATTCAGATGCCAGGAAAAGAGGCTGCCCTGATCTTTCGATAGCAAACTGTCCTAAGGCTTGTGAAAAAAGATCCAGGTAGAAAGGGATCAACAGCCACTTTCTTCTGAGAGGAGCCCCTGAGTGACTTCAGGCTGCTCCCACCAGGACCCTCTGCCTGAGGCCCTGAGACCCTGAGAAGCTGTGGGGCTCAAATTCAATGGCACAGAACATCCATCCATTCATTCAAGCATGTGCTGGATGCTGGGTGAAAGGCATAAACAAGACCCAGGCCCTGTACTCCAAGAGTCCAATGGGAGTGACGGACACACAACAGTTTGCTGTGTACCAGGACAGAGGCACATGGGGACTCTGTAGAGGAGTCAGGGTTGGTCAGGGAAGGCTTCCCAGAGGAGGCAGCACCTGGGCTGAGCCCCATCAGAAAGAAGGTGGAGAAGGGACACCAGGCAGAGGGAACAGCAATGCCAAGTAGGAGAGCGCATGGCACCTCCTGGTAAAGACAAAGAGTGTGGTGGCCTTCAGAGGTCAGCATAAGCCAGGGGGAGGCAAGACACGAAGTTGGAGGGGTCACCCAGCTGGGGCCTCTCAGGAAGGGCCTGGAATGTCTCACCAGGGACACTGGGTTTGACCCTCTGGGAGATGGGGAGGTTTAGAAGGGTTGTGGGCAGGGAGAAGGAACTCTGCAGGGTCCAAGGGGCTGCTGTAGGAAAGACACCCCCCCCTCTCCTCTCCTATTTACCAATGAGTGAAAAATGCAGGAAGGTAGATTTTGCCTCAAGATAAAATGAGTTTCCATGCTGGAATCCTTTCCCAGGGAACCACACAGGCCTTGCCTCCCTCCACCTCCCAGCAGCGCTCATTCTTCTCCCCAGTGTCCAGGGGGGATCACTGAGGCTCAGAGAGGCTGCAGACACTGAGAAAGTGGTGGGATGGGAATTGAACGCTTCAATTTCAGCACTATGCCCCCTCCTGCAAAGCACTGATTTTGAATAACCCACAATGAACAGAACTGGGGGTAACGGGCTTTGTGTCCTCAGAGGCAGTCAGGCCATTTGTCAGGAATGGTGGGCACTCAGTCTCTATGCTGCAGCTTACACATAGTTTATAGTGTGTACTGGCCTGTTGGAGGCACTAAACACTACATGTTTCTTGCTGAGCGGATGAAAGAGTTTCATGAATCTATGAGCAAGTCTGCTACCAAAGGAAATAAGCCTGAAGTCTTCCAATTGCCTCTTTAATCACTACCGCTTTGGGCCAGCACAGGGATGGCAAATGGGTCTTGATGCAGGTGCCAGCAGCAGTTGACTGGAGGGGATTGCTGGAGAATGATGCTGGAGTCGCACAGCAGATTCGTGGACTGACTGGTGATGTCTGCTAGGATGAAGGACGGGGATCCCATTCCTCAGCACAGAGAACCAGCCTTCACTCACCTTCTTTAAGACTGGAGACCACGGGGAAGTGACATCAACATTTTCCATAACCCTATAGACCTAAGATTGAAAAGAGCCCCTCCTATGTGCTAGGCTCTGGTCTAATCACTTGACCTTAACTAATTTCATCTTCATAACAACCCCACGAAAGAGGCAATGTTATTACCCCCATTTTGCAGGTGAGGAAACTGAGGCACAGTGGCGCGAAGGAACTGGCCAAGGTACCACAGGTTTAAGTGGCTGAACAGAGTGCTGGGCCCAGGCAGCCTGACTCCACAGCCCATCTTCACTGTGAGCAAATGCTCTCAGCAAACCCTACCGGGGTGCGAGAGACACTCTGACTACCCGATCCGAGAGACAGCAGATCACTGTGTCTGCCCCGTCCTCAGCAGGTACCCATGAAGTATGACCACTGCTGGGCAGAAGAAAGGCCTGTGACTTGGACTGCGATGTGGCCAGGACTCTCTTTGGAATGCAGAGACACCACAAGCTGAGACTGGATGAGAGAAGAGAAACCTAGAAAAATTCCCTTGCCCAGGAGCCTCTTCCTGAGCAAAGTGGGAAAAGTGCCCTCTGGGTTCAAATCCTGCCTCTGCCCCATTGCTGGGGGTAGAACCCCAGATGACTTTCCCAGAGCCGCCAGTGGTCAGATGCCTTAGCTATATGAGCTTAGCACCACCTCTGAATAGGGTGTGGCCACAGCGTGTGTGGCACCTATCTGGCACACAGTAGGTGCTTAATAAATTAGTGCTCTCTTTATGGTGGCACCTGTGAACAGGCCGACGGCAACCTTCATGACACAGATGGGTCACCACCACTCAACAGATGGATGGTTCCTTCACAATTCTATAAAATCCAGGCACCAGACGGGAAGGAGGGCAGGCTGAGGAGCTAACCCAAAGACCTCGGCTTGGGTGGCAAGTGTGGGTTTGACCAAGCTGTGTGTCCTTGACCAAGCCCCACCCTCGCTCTGGGCTAAGTCACCTCCTCTATAAGATGTGGGGATGAGAACCCTGGCCACGCCTCTGCCACTTTTATCTTTAGCACGTTGGCCGGGGAGGCCTGGGGTATCACGATTTTCTGAACTAAATCAAACTCTCCACACTGCTCTGTGCTGACAGGACCTGAGACAGGGAAGAAATTAAGCCCAAGGCTCTCTGGGGAGAAAACAATCAAGCAGAATATAAACCTCAGTGCCCTCCTCCTTTTAAGCCTCAGGCAGCTGGAGATAAGAGGCTCAGATAATTAAAAAATGGCCCTAACTCCATTCATTAGGCTCATTTTAATGCCTTATTTGTGTAGTAGCAGGAGCATTAAGTCAGGCATTTGAAGCTATTTCTAAGGCAAGATTTAGAACGTCTGTGAGTGATTCCCAAAGACCTGGTGGTGATGCCGAGATTATGCACTTTGCCTGGGAGAGCCATGTGCACACTGCCAGCTGAACAGCCACACACAGTTTTTCTAATCACACTTGGCTCAGGCTAAGCGCACATCAGCATGTGCCTCTGAGCACAGAGCGCAGATAGCCGGGGGACAGGAGAAGTGGGGCGAGGGCTGGGGGCAGGAATGCAGGAAGCTGGTGAAGGGTACACGGAGCCCAGTGGGGCAAAATCACATAGGGTCCACCCAGAAGGTTGGCCTGAACTTCTAACAATCACTAACGCCTCCTCGGGTTCAGGCTGGCCAGATCATCCTGAATCCAGAGCTTTAAGGGCCCTGGGGGAGCCTCCCTCTCGGGTCGGCCCCTCTCATGCTTTCTAAACATCCACCTTGGCTTTTGTGAGCTGCCCCAGAAACTCTGAGCCACACTTCCCCACCCCATTGCCCAGTGCAGGGAACCAGGCCAGGCTGGGGTGCAGGGAGAGGGAGGCCCCACCTACCCAGTCCTGTCACCTTCCGCAGGCAGGTGAGGGCATACTGCAGGCGACTACACTCCTCAGGGCTGGCCCCACAGCGCCGAAGCGTCTCCTTGACCTTGGCCTCGTTCATCTCCAGCAGGGCATCCAGCGTGAGCTCCCGGGGGATCTCCTGAGGGGCACAGGAGGGACAGGCAGAGAGGTGGGTGAGCAGTCAGCAGACCGGGAGCCCCTTCCCCCTCAGGCTGGCCTCCTGCTGAGTGGCAGGGGCCAGCTGCTGCCACCAGAGCCACCACGTGCTTGAGGACACAGGCAGAGAGCCCTCACCCCCACCCTCAGTGCTCCCAGAGACAGCAGCTGAAGGGACTCCGGGCTGGGAAGAAGAAAAAAGCCCAAAAGGTGGTGATGAGAGCACGCTGTCCCTCCTGCTTCTTTTTATTCTTCCATAAAGAAAAATTACGAACCATGACAATTTTTTAGAGTGACAAGTACTTCAGACAAAGAGGGCCCTTTACAATTCTGTTGTACTAGAATCAGACAAGACAGATTTCAAATAAAATTAGCTTAACAGGGGAAGGATTAAAAACTTAACCCTTGCCAAGCACTGCAGAGATACCACCTCATTACTGGACTCTGTCAAAACCTCCCACTGGGCCCACCTGACAGCTGAAGGAATAAGTATAGAGAGGTTATGTCACCTGGACAAGGTTGCTGGGCCCTAAGGGCAAGAGGGTGGCAGGCAGAGTTTTAAGGTGGCCTGTGACCTCAGTCCCCCAGTGTCCCTCCTGATAATACTACAGTACAGCAGCCCCTACACCCCATCCATGGTTTTACTTTCTGCAACTTCAGTTTACCTGTGGTCAACCATGATCTGAAAATATTAAGTGGAAAATCCCACAAATATTCCTGCAATAAACAACTCATGCGTTTTAAATTACCCGCTGTTTTGAGTAGCGGGGATGAAATCTTACGCCGCCCCACCCAGGACATGAATCATCCCTTTGTCCTGTAGATCCACACTGTCTCCGCTCCCCGCCAGTTAGTCACTTAGCCATGTGGGTTATCAGATCGACTGTCACAGTATCTCATCACATAGGCACTTTATCATCTCACATCATCACAAGGAGGGTGGTGAGTACAGTGTGATAAGGTATTTTGAGAGAAACAGAGAGAATCTATATTCACTTAACTCTTATTACAGCGTATCAATACAAGTGCTCTATTTTATTAGTTGTTGTTTTTAATCTTTTACTGTGACTGATTTATAAAGTTTATCAGAAGTACATACAGGAAAAATCTATATAACATAGATAGTGTTTGGTTCTCTCTGTGGTTCAAGTATTCACTGTGGGTCTTGGAACATATCCCCTGAGGATAAGGGGCGATCGCTGTATGTGGCAAAAGAGAGATTGTCCAAGTAGGCTTGACTGAATCATGAGACTTTTAAAAGCAAAGGGTTTTCTCTGGCTAGCAGCAGAGAAGTCTTCAGCCTGATGAGGACTCTGAATGCTTTGAAGGAGGAGGCTGCAGGAGAAGGAACTCGGGTGGCCTCTAGGATAAAGCCCCCAGCTGACAGGGAGTAGGGACGTCTGACCTACAGCCACAAGGAACTGGATTCTGCCAATAATCTGAATGAACTTGGAAGTGGATTCTTTTCCAAAGCTTCCAAGTGAGAGGATGGCCTGGCCTACCCCTGGCCTGAAGGCCTTTGAGATGCTAAGTAGGGATGCTAGCAGAGTCCACCTGTATCCCTCCCTTCCATCTGCCACCTATAGAACTATGAGCTGATCAATGGGTGGTGTTTTAAGCTGCTGAGTTCTTTCAATTCATTATGCAATAGAAAACTAATACATAAGAGTGAACATTTGAATCAAGGCCAACTGGCTTCAAAGCTCGTGCTGTTCCCTCTCATCAAGGTGGGAAGAAACCCGCTAGGTCTGACTCCTCTGAGCCTCATGTGACTGGAACAGATATGAAGACCAGCAGGACATGTCCCTGGCCTCAAGCAGCTTGTAGCCCAGTGGGAGGTGACAACATGAAGACAAGTCCTTATAATGCAATGAGCTATGGGGTAGAAGAGAGAGAATTCAAAGAGGGAAGGGATCAGATCAAGCTTTTTTTTTTTTCTTTATCCCTCCTATATTTCCAGATTTTCTATAACAGGGAAGGCCATACCTCCCACACCTTTATGAGCCCTGCGAAGCTCATAGTTCTTGAGACCGTAAGTGGATTTTTCATGTTAAAGAGTCATTTCACTGTCATTCTATTCATAGCTGTAAATCTTTGTTGTGTCTCAAGTGTCAAAAGTGAGCCTGCGAAGAAGACACTGGCTGGGCATCCGGAGGGTCAGGGGCCCGCCCAGGCCCCTCCTTTTGTATCTTGGTAGCATAGTCTACAATCTCCTGGGCTGTGGGCAAGAATTTCATCACGTTTTACACCAAACTGAAACCAGACATGTAACGGTACCAAGAAACTCCACATTGGTTGACCAGACCTTTGATTGTCAGGAACCCTTCCCAGATGGTAAAATTAAAGCATCACAGGAAACCACTGACAGGAACCGCGCAGAGTAGGCTGATTAGATAAATGGCCCCAGGCAGAAGCTTTTATTCGGTAACTGTGTCTTCAGAGAAAAGCGGTTTTGACGTCTTTTCTCTCATTTTATTAAGAAAAGCAACTTGGTAATATTACCAGGGCAAGAACAAAAGTGCCCTTCACCTAACACAACTGCACAAAACCACTCCCTGCCACACACACCTTTTCTCTGGCTGGGGTTCTTCAGTTTGTGGCTCACCTCCCCCCCACCCACACGCTCTAATTTTCCCAAGGCTGTGACTACTCGGCAGTTTTCCCACAATCCCCGCCCCCCATGATGACTCAGTGATTTACTTGAAGATGAGAGCGCCAGTTTGATGGTGGCCAACACAGAGCCAGGCCTCAGAAACCCGGCCCCCAACCTAACTATAGGGACAGGGGTGGTTTTCTTTCTTTTCATTTTTTTCTTCAACCACAACAATTTTTCGTTTCCTAAACATAATTACTACACCGTTATTACAAATTATTCGCTGACATAATATGCCCAGTGCTATATACATTATCTCCACCCTAAACAATTCAGCAAATACTAATAGATGTAGTAAGCCCATTTTTCTGAGGTTCCAAGACCTCCTCTGGCCCAAAAGTGAAGCCAAGCCCGATGGGCTGGGCCGATTTCAAATCTCCTTCCATCGCTCCATGTGGCAAAGCCCTGCGATGCAGCAGCCACTGTTTGGGAGAGATGATTTTTTCAAATAAGTTAATTTCTACCCACTTTCTGAAACATCTATTCTTTAAGATAGTACGTTCTTTGTTCTTTAAGCGAGTGAAGCAACCTCCTTACAAAGAGAAAGAATATGTTCAAGTCCATTCCCTTCAAAAATGAAAAAAAAAAAAAAAAAAGAAAAGGTATTCCCTAAAGCTTTAAATTAGCTGGGAAGTATCCTTTGCTTCTGCAGTTTTGGGGACCCATTCACCCCACTGTCATAAAGGAGGGAGGCATCGTTCTTCCTTCCCTTGCCTCCTCTCTATGCTCTAACATGAACTAAGAGGTAAGGGGTTGCAAGACCAAACTGGGGGGCGGGGGGGAGCAGCGGTGCTGGAGTAAGGGGGTTGCCCATGCCTCTCCCCAAACAAGTAACTTGACCTTCCAGCTCTTGTTGTCTGAGCTCCACACCGATGAAGTTATAGAGAGCTTAGCACACCATCCCAACACCAAATATGATTATCATTTCTGAGCCACTGTTCCTCCCATTGTCCAATCCTCCTCCCTGCAGGGCTGGACTACTGAACTGGGGCAGGGACCACCTTGGCCTATTCAGAAGCTGCAGTCAATGGAGCCACCCGCCAGTCACCAAGCAGGCCACCTGGCACAAGGGCCACAAACACAAAGCCTCAGACCCAGGCCTTGGGAAGAGACAAGACCGGCAGGGACAGCCCCCTGGATCTATCTTTTCAGGGAGATACAGATGCTAGAAACACTGTTCTTGACTCTGTACTGGGCAAAAGCCCAACAGCAGCAATGGCAATGCTAACCACAAACCCACCCTCCGTCCTCACTCAGGGTTTGGGGTCGGGGACAGGCAATGGAGGGCACCACACCTTCCAATTTTTAAAAAAAACTGAATTATTTTTTATTTTTTGACACAGAGTATCACTCTGACACTCTGGGTAGAGTGCCATGGCATCATTATAGCTCACAGCAACCTCAAACTCTTGGGCTCAAGAGATATCCTCTGGCCTCAGTTTTTCTATTTTTAGTAGAGATGGGGTCTTGCTCTTGTTCAGGCTGGTCTCGAACTCCTGAGTTTGGGCGAGATCCACCTGCCTCAACCTCCTAGAATGCTAGGATTATAGGGATGAGCCACTGCACCGGGCTTGAGTTTATTTTTAAATGGCTGGTTTTTACACGTGGCAACAAATTCTTTTTTTTTTT